GGCCAGGCTGGTCTAACGTAGTAAGTTCCAGGACAGCCTGGTGGGGGGTGGGGACTGGAGAGATGGCTCAGTGGTTAAGAGCATTGCTGATCTTCCAGAGGACATGAATTCAATTCCCAGCACCCACATGGCAGCTCACACAGATATGAAATAAAAGTAAATAATTAAAAATAAAATGATTTAAGTAGAAGAGATAGATTAGATGTAATGAAAGGAAGAAACAGTGAGTTGGGGTTGAGATCTTAAAAAATTACCCGACAGGATCTTGGACAATAGGAAAAAGGGGTAGGTGACGGCTAATTCCGCTGTCTACACTGGGTTAGGGAACAACCTAGGCCGTTAGTGAATGCGGTACATACTTGGATGTGTCTGAGGGTATTTCCAGAGAGGATGGACCCTGGGACTAAATTAAAAAGAGACAAGGAGAAAGCTGCTGTGATGGGCGGAGCCCACATAATCCCTTCCTCCCTTCTGTTACTTGTCAGGGATTTGGTCACAATAATGAAAAAGTGGCAAATGTGTACTTTAGTCCCTTGCTACTGCTGTAACAATGCCACACATTGGACAGTTTGTAAGTCTTCCGTGGGAGGGGACTGGAATCAATAGTGACTGGCATTTAGAGGGCCTTAGTGGGGAGAGAGGGTGGGGCTGCTTACAGCTTCCCCCCACGACCTTCTCTGTGCTATGACGTTAATCCATCCATGAAGTAAGGGCCCTCGTGACCCATTCATCTCTTAAAAGCCCCCCCCCCCACCTTTAAGTTTCCAGTACAAGTGTAGGTGTGTGGAGTTACTACTAATCCAGGGAGGCTAAGACAGGATCGCGGGTGTGGAGCTCGCCAGGGTTACAGAATGAGGTGGTTTCCCTGAAAAGGAAGCAGAAGCAAGCTTCAACCCCAAACAGTAAGACATCTCCACATTTTGGTGTGTGAGATGCCCCCTGTAGGCGCATGTGTTGGAACCCTGTTTCCCACCGGTGGCTCTGTTTACAGAGGTTCTGCAGCCTTTGGGAGTCTTAGCTGGAAGAAGTGGATCAAGCCTTGTTACTGCATCCTGACCCACCCCAGTGAGCAAAGGGCCTCACTCCCCTGCTCCGATGGATGCAGGCATCCTCACACCCCTGCCCCGATGGATGCAGGCATCCTCACACCCCCTGCCCTGATGGATGCAGGCATCCTCACACCCCTGCCCCGATGGATGCAGGCATCCTCACACCCCCTGCCCCGATGGATGCAGGCATCCTCACACCCCCTGCCCCGATGCACTCATCCTCACACCCCCTGCCCTGATGGATGCAGGCATCCTCACACCCCTGCCCCGATGGATGCAGGCACCCTCACACTCCTGTCTGGATGAAAGCATGCCTGCAGACTTCCTCCCCTCAAATGATGAACCAGAATAAATCCTGAAAAAAGTATCTGAAGTGTGACCCTAATTAATCTTATCAATAAAAACTCGGAGACAGATATCGAGGTAAGAGTTGAAAAATCAGAGAAGCAAAGGAGCAGCCTCAGTCACCTCTTACCTCTCCGTCTCCTTCTACCTTATCCTTTCCTGTCTCCGTCCAGCCTTATCACTTCCTGTCTGTATGGTCCTCCAGACCTCTATGGTTAACTAGTGGCTAGCTCTGCCCTCTGATCTCCAGGCAAGCTTTATTTGTTAGAACACGAAAATATCACACAAGTAGCTAATATACTTAGTTTCATAATCCCATTTTAGCTGCAAAACAAAACAAAAACCCAATCTTGGCTGTATAACCTACGAATAATGTTTTAGAGATGGTTACAGGCAGCAAGATATTAAATAAATACTGAATATAATACATTAAAATTTTATTCCCATGAGGATCAAATACTAATGAAAATTGAAAGTTGTTGGAGTTAAACCACTCCCAGGGAGAGACGGCTGGAAGGCTGATTAATTCAGGCTTACAGCCTATGTACTACACTTCAAAGATAGGCCACACTTAAGGTAAGTGAACCTTACCTAGCTCATACTAGCATAGGAGTGAACCTTACTGGGCTGTAGAGATGGCTCAGAGGTTAAGAGCACTCACTGGCTGTTTGTTCTTCCAGAGGTCCTGAGTTCATTTCCTAGCAACCACATGGTGGCTCACAACCATTTATAATGAGATCTGGTGACCTCTTCTGGCCTGCAGGATATGCAGACAGAACACTATACATAATAAATAAACAATTTTTTAAGTGAACCTTACCTTCTAGGCTAGAAGTGGCAACACAGGATATTTTAAAAGGTAATCCGTGTTGCCCAGTGGTAGAGCATGTTAGGGGAAAAACAGGAGAAAAAACAAATGTAAACCATGAATTCGTTAGGACAAATGTCTGGTCTTAAGAAAGCACGAGATTGTAGAATTGTAGAAAATAAAAGTGGGCAGAGAGCTTTAAAATGAAAGTTGGAAGGAAAATAAATTGGGAAAATACTACAAGAAATGTCCTAGGCATGTTAGCATCAGGTAGACATCCTTTTTTTGACAGCATGAGTGACAAGTGGTGTGGGCTGCGTTGGGGTGGGGTAGGGGGTTGTTATAAGCAGGTTGCTCCCAAGAACATAGATTTTTCACGATGTAGGGACATGGAAAGAGTGATGGCAGTAGTCCCCAGGAATGTTTGTAATCGGGAAGGCGCCACCTGTGTCGGGCGCTTGGGTGGGGTTGTGGCTCGGTGAGGCTGCTGGGAAACTGGTTCAGCTGTTTTGGAGAAGAACTTAGCAGTGTGTACTGAGTCGAAGGTGCTTAGACACACAAAGGAGCCCTCGAAGGCCATGAGGCTTCCCAGTGCTGCTTTGCATACACTGCTGTTGTGAGCACACTGGCTATGGCTCTGAAGCACAGGAATTTCAGGGAGTGGTCGGCTTCCGTTCTGTCATCTGTGACGCGACCCACCCAGGGTCCTCATGCTTTGTGTGCCTGGGGTGTGGCGTGAACTAGCTAAGTGCCAAGTGGGTGTCAGCCTGGATGGCACACAAGTACAGGTCAAACTCACAGAGATCCTCCTGCCTCTGCCTCCCGAGCGCAGTGTTTAAAGGTGTGCGCCACCACCGCTAGGTGAGTGACGGATTTTTTAAGATTTATTTTTTGCATGCATGTGTACCATGTGTATGTAGTACCCATGGTGGCCAGAAGAGGGCACTGGGTTCCCCGGAACTGGAGCTACAGGTGGTTGTGAGCAGCCACATGGATGCTGGGAACCAAACCCAGTCCTTTGCAAGAACAAGTGCTCTTCACCACAGAGCCATGTCCCCAGCCCAGGGTGGAGGACTCGAAGATAAACCAGGTACTTGTTGGCTTTCCTTCTGCCGCTGCGACGTTCATGTTCGTGTGCTGTGTGTGTTTCTCGTGCTCACCTTTAGGGTCCCCATCTCTGGCTGCCTTGGCTGTGGCCCTGGGGACTGGTGGAAGTGTAGGTGTGTAGGTTCTCTCTTGTTGGGATGGGTGAGCAGGCAGGGCCCCCTGGGGAGACTCCTGACCTGGCTGTTGGTGTGGGCATCTATTAAAAGTCTAGGTGGCCTTGTGTTTGGAATTTTGCCATAGGCTATAAATAGCCAGTGTGAGAGTGTGAAGAAACAGGGCCAAGGAGGAGAGAGGAAGCAAGCGGGAGGCCCCTGGGTCTCCAGCTGCCAGTAGCCTGGGTGCGGTGTGGGAGGGGTGTGGAATGTGACAGGGATGTAAAGCCTGCAGGCAGGCTTGATGTGAAGTCTGGATTGCAGGGGTCACCACAGCCCTAGGAGGCAGGTGATGTCAGTCACCTCTCCAGGGCGTGGCTAGGTGACTCACCCCAGGCACACAGCTGGGGAGTATCAGCAGGGCTTGGACACCTCAAAGCTGCTCTGGAGGGGTCGCTGTTACAAAGTCTGGTCAGTTGCTCAGGTGAGGTCCTGAGCCTTTGGGTCCTACAAGTGTTTATGGTGCCAAGGCTTTCGCTTCCTCTTGGGGATTGTTTGGGCTTTTTATGCATGCACTGTGGACCTGTCAGAGACTCTTGTTATCATGGCTGCTGCTGCTCATGGAGACTCCAGGTTGGAGAGGAGCAGCTCTGTACTCGATGAACTGGGCACTTCACTAGCTCAACTGCCAGTTAGTGCCACAAGTGGCCTGGGGCATGTGAGCAATAAACGTGCCACCCAGGCTCCTGGCACTTGCCTGGCCTTCATTTTCAGGCCTGCACTCTCCCCTCGGAGTCTTGCCTACAGGCTTAAATAAAGTCCTGACTGGGGGCGGAGGGGACGGGTGGGGGTGGGGTGGGGGTGGAGGTTGCAGGGGTGAGGAGGTGAGGGGGGGTGGTGCCCCTGCACATCTCTGAGAGGGAGGTCCTGGTTGCTCTCTGGCTTATCCATTTGAGCCCTGTTCTGCATCCTTTAGGGTTTCTGTGTAGGGTTCTGGAAGGTAGTAAACATCACACTCTTGTCGGGAGGTCCGTGAGGGATCAAGGCAGGGCCTTCCTTTTTTGGCTTTTGTGTACTTTCACATCCTACACCCAAAGGTTCATGAGGCCATTGCGGGCTAATGGCGGGACTGTGGCTTGTTGGTGGGATTTATCAGAAAGATGGGTTGGGTGAATGGAGGGTTTGGGGAATTATAAGTCAGAGCGGTCATCCATCTGGATGGAATTTATGCTGAGTGGATAGGTTGTACCTGTGTTTGTGCTCACCAAATCTAGCTGCACAGTTGATCTGTGACTGCAGCTTAGCCCTCTTGTCTGAGTAAATGCTCCTTGATGACCCTGGGAGCTTACCCCTTTTCAGATAAGCTTAGATGCTCTGCAGTACCAGGCAAGAAGGAGCGCAGAATTACTGGCCGGTGTGGGCAGGGGATGAGGAGAAAATACTGGCCTGGTCTTCCTCATAGTGTTGGATGTGTGGATGGGAAGGGGCCCTGCGTCCAGGGTGGAGGGGTGGGCTGGCGTCTTCGCCAGGGGCCTTGAGCACGGCCTCGTTTCCCAGTGACAGGTCACTGGCTCAGCTTCTCTCCTCTCTGGGGCACAGGTTCTGGGCGTGGGGAGGCCGAGACTCGGGAGTGCATCTACTACAACGCCAACTGGGAGCTAGAGCGCACCAACCAGAGCGGCCTGGAGCGCTGCGAGGGCGAGCAGGACAAGCGTCTGCACTGCTACGCCTCCTGGCGCAACAGCTCGGGCACGATCGAGCTAGTGAAGAAGGGTTGCTGGCTGGATGACTTCAACTGCTACGACAGGTATGCCCTGGCCAGGGCGCCAGGGTGCCCGTTCCCGTTCTGTTGGCGCTGCAGAAGCCGCCCGAGCTCCCTCCCACCTGCGCTGTCCTCACCCACTGATCCCAGGGCGCCTGAGCTGGAAAACGGCTTCTGAGGCAGTGCCCGGGGTCCCAGGCCCCTTTACTGCTTTTTGCGCTCCTGAGCTCAGCAGCATTTCTGTGCGGGTCTGTGCGTGCCTGGCTGCCCTCCTAGGCTTGGGTCACTGCAGGGGAAGTGGGCTCGCCCTCTCTGTCTGTGGGGAGGGGTCTGGGAGAGCCTTGCCTTCTCTGCCCTGAGTTTGTAACGCGGCCTCTGGGCCCTCTTCAGGCAGGAGTGTGTGGCCACTGAGGAGAATCCCCAGGTGTACTTCTGCTGCTGTGAAGGCAACTTCTGCAACGAGCGCTTCACCCACTTGCCGGAGCCCGGGGGCCCAGAAGGTGAGGAGCCCGTGGGAAGAGGGGTCTAAGCGAACACTCTGGAGCCAGTGGGGAGTGGTTGCAGGGCCTCTTGGAATGTTGGAGCAGGCGGGCTGTGTGACACAGAGCTCCATGTGTCCCCCAGTCACGTACGAGCCACCCCCGACAGCCCCCACCCTGCTCACGGTGCTGGCCTACTCGCTGCTGCCCATTGGGGGCCTCTCCCTCATTGTCCTGCTGGCCTTCTGGATGTATCGACATCGCAAGCCTCCCTATGGCCATGTGGACATCCACGAGGTGAGACGTTGTCAGCGTGGCGCGGGGCAGGGAGGAGGGATGGCTGGACAGACTCCTTTTAGCCCTTGCTTTCCCAGGACCCCGGGCCCCCGCCCCCATCCCCTCTGGTGGGCCTGAAGCCACTGCAGCTGCTGGAGATCAAGGCTCGGGGTCGCTTTGGCTGCGTTTGGAAGGCTCAGCTCATGAACGACTTTGTGGCCGTCAAGATCTTCCCACTCCAGGTGAATTTTTGGGGTTGTCCAGGCCATTTCTCTGGCTGTGGTCTGAGTTGGAGTCTCTGTGACAGGGCCGTCTAGTCCCTGATCCGTGTGGAGAGCAAGGCCATCCGTCTTTGAGTCTTTGAGTGTTTGGTCCATTAGGACAGGCATCAGTGTCAGGCTCTGCTAAACTTCAACCCGTGTTGGTTTTGGGTTTTGCTGTTACTTCTGTGTTGTATATGTATGTGGGGTACGCACAGGTGTGTGTGTGGAGGCCAGAGTTTAACACTCAGGGTTTTCCTTTTATTGTACTCCGCCTGTTTTGTTTTCTTTTGAGACAGAGTGTCAGAGTATAGTCCTGGCTGGCCTGGAACCCACAGAGATCTACCTGTTTCTACCTCCCAAGTGCTGGGATTAAAGGTGCAAACCAGCATGCCTAGCTTTTTACAAATTTTTATTTTTTTTTTATTTTTATTTTATTTTTTTTTTTATTTTATTTTTATTTATCTTTAAGAAAAACATTTTTAAAGTGTGTATAGTAGGTGTTTTGTCTGTGTGTATCTATGTGCACCACATGCTTGCCTGGCACCTGTGAGGCTGGGTCCCTGAGACTGGGGTTACAGACGCCTGTGAGCTGTCGTGTGTGTTGGGAATTGAACCTGGATCCTCAGGAAGAGCAGCCAGTGCTTAACCTCGGCACCACCCTTCCAGTGTCTGACTTTTTAGTTTCTTAGGGACAGCCTCTCTCTGAGCCTGGAGCTCACCGGACCCTCCATCTCTGTTCCTCCTGCTTCTAGCACCGGGTCACAGGCGGACACTGCGCTAGACTTTTTACTTAGCTGCTGGGGATCCAAACTCAGGTCTTCTTGCTTGCCAAGCAGGCACTTTACTCCTGAGTCATCTCCCCAGTCCCCGAGTTTGGTTTTTGACATTATGACCTTAGAAGCTTCAGACACCAGGCAACCCAAAGCAGTTCCTGCCCAGGACACCTGGCAGATCAAGCACTTGCTGGCTGATACTGGGCGTTCACTCGGCGTCTGCGGTCCCATTTGTCAATCCGGGTGCTGGCATCAGCCCCGCAGAGGTCTGCAGTCTGTCTGGTTCTTCAGATGCATCTTGTAGCCGCTGAGGCTGGGAATCCAGGGAGTGGGCATGGAGATGGGTGTGTCGGGTGGCTGTGCTGCTGTGAGGCTCCTAGTGTGTGAGGCTCCTAGTGGCCGGACTGAGCTGTCTTCTTGCCTCACTCAGGACAAGCAGTCGTGGCAGAGTGAGCGGGAAATCTTCAGCACTCCGGGCATGAAGCATGAGAACCTGTTGCAATTCATTGCTGCCGAGAAGCGAGGCACCAACCTGGAGGTGGAACTGTGGCTCATCACAGCTTTCCACGACAAGGTGAGCCACACCCACCCGAAAGCCCCCCCCCCCCCGCTGAGGCCACACCCACCAGGAAGGCCCCAGCTGAGACACAGGTCTCAATGGTGGTTTTGTGACTGGATGACCCCTGCCTACATCCGGTGTGCCTCTCACCCTGGGTCCCTTCTTTGGCAAGAATTGCCACTCCGCCCACTCGGCACTTTGGCAGTGAGATGTTCTTCCCGGGGCTGGGCGGGGTTGCATCTTTTCCTGCATTTGGAGCCTTCGCCCACAGTCTGTGCTGCCTTCTTTTAGGGCTCCCTCACGGATTACCTCAAGGGGAACATCATCACGTGGAACGAACTGTGTCATGTGGCAGAGACGATGTCACGAGGCCTCTCGTACCTGCACGAGGATGTGCCCTGGTGCCGTGGCGAGGGCCACAAGCCTTCTATTGCCCACAGGTACCTGGGTTAAGGATTCCTCCGTGCATGTGTGCCGGAGTTGCTGCCAGGGTGGTGTTGGAAACCAGAGGTGCCTCCCCTTCCTGATCGGCCTGTGGTGTGTCACTCACTGCAAACCTGGCCGATGGCTAGCTTTCCAGGCCAGGGTTCTGGCGCCCCCTACCGAGCACACGAGGAAGTGCTGACAACGTGACTATTCCAGGTCATCAAGGCCATTCTGAGTCCTTAAAAGGACTCTAGTATCTGACCTATAGGCTATGTTTGCTGGCAATGACACCATACTCCTGGGGTGAGCATTAAAAGGCAAATGATAGATCATTACAAAATGATTTGACCTCACAGGCCTCTTACAATTGCCTTAGGATTTTTTAGGACTTCTGAGCCTTTCCCCACCCCACCCCACCCTTTTTTTTCATGACAGGGTTTCTCTGTGTAGCCCTGGCTGTCCTAGAACTCACTCTGTACACCAGGCTTACCTTGAACTCCGCCTCTGCCTCCCAAGTGCCGACATTAAGGGCATGCACCACCACTGCCCGGACATACTTCTTTTTTTTTTTTTTCTTTTTTGAGTTTTATTGTGTAGCTCAGGCTGTCCTTGAGTTCAGGACTTCTACAGCCTCCCAGACTCTAGGCTGATAGACCTGAGCCATCGGGCTAGCCTTGAACCGCACCGGTGTGTACTGTTAAATGGCATGCACGGTGGGGTGGCGCACACCTTTAATCCCAGCACTGGAGAGAGGCAGGCAGATCTCTGTGAGTTCAAGGCCAGCCTGGTCTACAGAGCGAGTGCCAGGTTAGCCAAGGCCTCACAGTGAGATCCTTTTCGCCCCCTCCCTCCTCAAAGAGCCTTGTTCCAGTCTGGTGAGGTGAAGCTATCTCTGTCAGCGCCACCTTACAGGGGGTGGAGCATAGTACAGAGACTGCAGCCCCACGGGCGACTTTAGTCAGCTCTGTGACTGTGGGGGAGGGGGTTTGAGGGTGCGGGGGAGCTTCCTATTGACTGCTGGCTTCAAAGCCGAAGGCCCCCGCTGGTGTTGACAGTAGTGTCACAGAAGGCTGTATGTGAGGCAGAGGTTGACTCCTGCACGTAGATGAGATTTACAGCCGTGCCCAGTAAGTGTCGGGTGCTTGAAACACCTGTGTAGACCTCGGTTTATCCTCACAGCAAGGCTCAGCTGGAAGCTGGGGACACTAAGGACTTGGGGCAGAGCTGGGAGCCTGCACGCGCTCCTGCTGCGCCCTGCCGTGTGGCTTTGGCAAGCCGACTTTAGGTTCTTGTTCCATTCCAAAGCTGGTTAACTTCTGGGGAGACTCGTGTGCCATGGCCTCTGAGAATTTATGGGCTGGCTTTTAGAACTGTGGTCCAGAGCCTGCCCAGCCACCATGGGAGGAGCTGCTCTGCCTTCTGGAGTAGGCTGTCTGTGAGGGACTCCCAAGCAGTTTTACCTCCTGCCCCAGAGAGTTGGGGACGGTTTAAGCTGGGAGCTACAAGCCCAAGCTCTAGTACTTTGAGAGCGGCGGTGCAGGGAGGCACACGGATTCATCGTCTCAAGGCGGGCTGGGTCTTGATGCTGGGCTGCACTTGGCCTCCACAGGGACTTCAAAAGCAAGAATGTTCTGCTGAAGAGTGACCTCACTGCTGTGCTGGCAGACTTTGGCCTGGCCGTTCGGTTTGAGCCAGGGAAGCCTCCCGGGGACACCCATGGGCAGGTAAGGAGTCTGGGTAGCAGGAGTAAGGGCCAGCACAGGGCTAAGGCTCTGAGTCTCAGCTGGTGCTCCTTCGGAGCTACCTGGGAACTCAGAGAACCAGGGCTCTTGCCTCTCCAGCTGGGAAACCAAGGCCTGGAGGTTGGCGAAGCTTCCTCTGGCCAATCCGTGTTCCCCATTTGGGCTTCAGCCACTCCTCCTTGTATTTCAGTCTCTCTTTATGTTGTAATTATTATTTTTCAAAAATACATTGTGTGCATGCCTGTGTTTTTGTGTGTGCGCGTGCGTGCGTGCCTGTGTGTGTATACGCGCGCGCGCGTGTGTGTGTGTGTGTGTGTGTGTGTGTGTGCGCTTGTGCCTAGAAAAAGCAATGGAAAGTTAAGCCAGCCACATCATTCTGGAAGAGTCACTTGGTGTTTCTAAATGTGTTCTTGCCATTTTGTTTCGGCTTTTTAAAATTTTGCTTTGTTGTTTATGTAGTGTGTGTATTCCCATTTCCATGTGGAACCCTGAGGTAGACACTGGGCATCTTCCTTGATGCCCGCCTTGATGCCCGCCACCTTGTATATTAAGTCTGGGTCTTTCACCTGAACGTAGATCTCGCCAGTTAGTCTAGCCAGCTTGCTGTGAGGACCCCGCCTGTCTCCTGGATGCTGGTGTTGCAGGCAGGCTGCGTTTATGTGGGGTCTAGATATCCAAACTTCCATTTTCATGCTTGAGTGACAAGTGTCATGTCTCATCTCCCTTGGTTACTACAGGGTCTCTCTGCATAGTTCAGCCTGGTCTGGAGCTTCGCCTCTCTTGCCTCGCCTTCTGAGTGCGTGGCTTTGCTTCGGGTATTAAACTCAGCAGAGTCCAAAGCCTTGGAGTAGCTGGTTGGTGTATTCTAGGACCTGTGTGCTGTCTACAGTTGTCATCAGATATAATCTTAACTCTGGTGGGGCCGGGCTTGGCCTCGCAGGCAGGCTCTCTGCTTTGAACGTCTCTGTCTTAACCAGTCTTGTGCACAGGCTACAGCTCTCTACACACGACAGCTGAGTGTGCATTTGCGTGTAGCTGGTCTCTGGAGACCCTGTCCTCCCTTGTCTTCGTGTAGGTTGGCACTAGACGGTACATGGCCCCCGAGGTGCTGGAGGGAGCCATCAACTTCCAGAGAGACGCCTTCCTGCGCATCGACATGTATGCCATGGGGCTGGTGCTGTGGGAGCTTGTTTCTCGTTGCAGGGCTGCAGATGGTGAGTGGGCTGGCAGCCCTGAGCATCCTGGGTTGGGGACCTCAAGCTAGGCCTCGAGTGATCTCACTAGCCTCTCTCCTCACCTCTCAGGGCCTGTGGACGAGTACATGCTGCCCTTTGAGGAGGAGATTGGCCAACACCCTTCCCTGGAGGAGCTGCAGGAGGTGGTTGTGCACAAGAAGATGAGGCCCACCATTAAGGATCACTGGCTGAAGCACCCGGTGAGGGAGCTGGGTTCAGACCACGCTGTGGGTGTGTGAGGGGGACCTGCCTGGTCCAGCAGGAGCCTACGCGCATGGGAAGGTTCCCTGGACCCTAGGGCGGCATCTCTGAGGTTGTGGGGAGTAAGGTTGGCCCTGACCTCCTTGTCCTCTCTGGTGCTCAACTTTATGTTTCTGCTTTGTGAGTTCCGGTGCTCCAAGGCTAGCAGTTGTGTCTGTCGGGGTGCAGGGGTGGGGTGTTCCTCTTCTTCCTGTGTTAAAGTTTAGCAAACATTTCCCTGGGGCTCTAAGGGAGGTCCAGACTCAGTGGGGTGACTGACAGGAGGGGTGGGGGGGTGGGGAGGGTGGGGGTGGGGGGGTGTCTGAGAGCCTGCAGTTTGCAGTCTCCTAATTGACCTGCAATGGCTGTGATTGGGCCGTAGGCTCTGCCTGGTCCCCTGACGTCATCTCTTGCTGTCTTCACTGCTAGCCCTAACAAGGCTTCTTCCTCCCACTGCTCTGCAGGGTCTGGCCCAGCTCTGTGTGACCATTGAGGAGTGTTGGGACCATGATGCAGAGGCTCGCCTCTCAGCAGGCTGCGTGGAGGAGCGGGTGTCCCTGATCAGGAGGTCGGTCAACGGCACTACCTCGGACTGTCTAGTCTCTCTGGTGACCTCGGTCACCAATGTGGACCTGCCCCCTAAAGAGTCCAGCATCTAAGCCTAGGATATGAGTGTCTCTCCAGACTCAGTGGATCTGAAGAAAAAAAAGGAAAAAAGTTGTGTTTTGTTTTGGAAATCCCATAAAACCAACAAACACATAAAATGCAGCTGCTATTTTACCTTGACTTTTATTATTATTATAATTATTATTAATAATATTATTTTTGGATTGGATCAGTTTTTACCAGCATATTGTTCTACTGTATGGCAAACAGCGGACGTGCCGTGTCAGCAGGCGCTGAGGTGCAGAGCCAGCGCCTTGCTGAAGAGCCTCAGCCACTGCTGTCCTTCGGGATTGACTTTCCCCAGCGATCTCTTTGCCGTCTCAGAATCTGTAACACAAAGAAACCCATCTCCTGTCTTAGGAAACTCAATGCTGCAATCTCTACTAGAGGAACCTTTGAAGACTGTTACATGAACATACCCTTCCTCGGAAGAGGGCCCCTTTATTTTGTGTTTCTCCCTTTTCAGGCAGTGAGCTTAAGAAAGGGCAGATGCGTCCTCATGGAGCTAATGGGCGTCACCCTGACCCAACAGCCGGAACGTGAAATGGGGGGATGGTTTAGGAGGGAGATGGTTCTGGGGCGGGTTTGGAGCAGAGCTACACTGGACTTGGGCACATTTGGAGCAGCGCCCTTGGCTATGGAGGCTATTTTCTCAGGTAACAAGGGACGGAGGGCGAGGAGCTTATGGGGCGAACGGTAATAATAGCAAGCACAGGGTCTGGAGAAAGTCCAAGAGCAGGGCCAGGCTGCCCCACCCACCCAGGTTCTTCCCACTCACGTGGGTGTGGCCGGAGGGGGGGCGGTACCTTGCTTGTGTGTTAGGACTGGGTGAGGGCGTGGCAGTTTAGTGACATCCTTCTTTAGACATAAGGCTGTAGATCTCTTTTATGGAGGAGATACCGAACTCCAGTTTCCTCTTGGCAGTTTGGGGACATGCCGGTGGCGTCCCCTGCACGGTGTGGGCAGCCCAGAGGATCCGTGGGTGGGGACCCTGCCGGCCTGCAGCTCTGGCTTGGCCCTGTACAGCTGCATCCCTGGCTGCTTTCTGAGGCTCGTGGACACGGCTTTCTCCAGACCCTTCAAAGTGGTGCATATTCTAAAGCTGTTTTTCTATTACGCCATAACCTTGCTCCAGGCCGTGAATGTTCCTAATGCTGCTGTCTTGACATTGGAATTTTTTTTTAATTTATGAAACATGCTAATTTTTTTTTTCAGACAGAACACACATCCACATGTGCACACATCCTTTGCTGTGTGGCTTCCGAGGTTTAAATTTTAAAAAGTAAAAGAAGTAACTTCAAGACCACAGACCACCTCAAACCAGAAATACCTCAGAATTTTCTACTTGTGTACGTTTTATTAATTATATATTTTGTTAGTCGTGTTGTCTTCTTGTAGGAAGTATATTTTAATGTAAGTTGGTTTTTATGACAAGGAAGTTTAAAAGAAATAGAGAAAAAGAAAAACGTCTGAGTCTTCTAGTCAGTACTACCTTTCTGTTTGTAAATGATTGTCATCAGCTGTAGGTGGCCCTGTGGGCGGAGTCCGGACGTTCATCACTCTGGTTTAGACCCTATTATGCAAACAGCACATCTCTATCTTGAGGGCAGGCCGCTTCCTCCGGGTTGTGGAGAGGCCCGGGTGCTGTCCCTTGGCAGACACGAAGCCCTGGCCCCCATCCAGGTGCCACTGGAAGGTTGATTTAATTCTCCTGGTAGCAGGTGGACTCTGCATCACCTGTAACTGCAGGGGAAGTCTGGGAGGGCACAGCTCACAGCTGGAGGCCGCTCCCCTCAGTGTGTGGTCCCTGGGGGGGGCTGGGCTTGTTCTTTTCTGTGGGTGTTGGTGCACAGGCCAGCTGGTTTCCCTCTCAGACCTTGGTCTTTGTTTCCATGGATCACTGCGGGCTGGCCGGGTAGTTAGGGGGACATGAACTTTGTTTCTGTAAGCTATGTGTGTCCCCCCTGACCTCCCTATTGTACTATGGTATTTTCTCTTCTCCCAATACTTTTTTTTCCCCTTCTCAAACAGGTCTTACAGCAGTTGCTTTTCTTTTCCGCTTATTTCTTTAAGAAGCTTTAAATATTTATTGAAAAGTGCCATATCTGCTTTCTTTAGCTTTCTCCTCAGGCAGTGGGAACCTCTACTTTTGACCCTTAACAAACAAACCACTAAGAAATGCAGCTGCTGCTGCAGGAGTGACCAAGTCACCAGCCACGTGCTGTGCCAAACACTGCACCCAGCTTCCTTGTGACCCTGTGACCCTGGGTGATTTTCCTCTTGTGTGCTGGCTTGGTTGTCACAAGCATCCCGGCCTGGCTGACCTTTGGTGGGACGTCTCATTTGTGATACATGCAGGCCTAACACCTTTTCTGGGGCTGGCTTTCCCCTTTGCTCACCCTGTGTCAGACCTTTGTGTCAGAGTGGAATGTCAGGAGGTGGCACCTGCTCTGTGTGTCCTGGAAAAGGTTGAGTCTGGGCGGTGGCATCTGTGACTAGGGGCTGGAGACTGCCCCCAGGCTTCAGGTAACACACGCAGTTGCTCATGGCTGGACGCTAGGTAATGGATCTCCCAGGGCGTGGCCTGGAAACCTGGGTGGGCCTTGTTCTTCTTCCCGTGTCCAGTTGGGTCGTGGGGCCTCTCTGCCTGGCACTTCCTTACAGATTTCAACTCACGCTCCTTCGATTCCCTACTTCCTGAAGCTTTTTGGAAGACAGGAAGTTCCCATGTGTGGAAAGCGATGACAAAAGTCAGGGGAGAGAAACAGCTAGAGACGCCTTCCTCCCTTTTGCATGTTGTAGTGCAAACAGGCTCCTGTGGCGATGGCTCTGGCAGGGAATGTGGTAACAGGCACTTATCTGTTGCCAGAGGTTTCTGTGACTATGTCAGAGAAAGATAAAGCGAGTAAAGACGGCGCTGCTGTGCCGGGGCCTCTGCAGAGGACCCTCGTTGACGGGTGTCCAGTGAGGCTATGAGCAGTCTGCTCATAGAGCGCCTGCTCTAACATGGGCTGGCCTGGTACCACAGACTCCAAACACAAGGGGAAGCGCTGGCCGTCTGCTCACACAGCCACAGCAAACTACCAGGTTTGCCGGGTGAGGGCCGGGCCAGCCTTCCTGACAGGGCTTGAGCTTCTAGCCCTTCCACACTGCTCTGCTCTGTCCCCCCTCCCTGCTTGGGGGAGGTGACCACACCCTTGGCCCTGTCTTGCTACTCTGACCTGCGCCTTGGGTTTTATGACTGAGTTTTCTTGGTGGCCAGCTTACATGTACTGAATGTTCGCCACAAACCTTTTGTCTCAGAAGGCCAGTCCTGTGGTTCCTATGCTTAGGCACTTAGGCAAAGAGAGGACTGGATGGCTCTCTCAGTCACACACGGAATTTTACCTTTTTAGTGTGTGAAGTTCCTGGGGTATGCTCCAGGATAGGAGATTATCCCGTTTGTTAAATAATACAGCAAAAGCTCGCTGCACTATAAGTTGAGTCCCTGCCATTCTACTCACGAACTTGGGTCATTGGATGCATCCTGGAATCAGAGAGCATCTCCTGGTTCATTCAGCTGCATCTTCAGCACGGGCCGTTTCCTCCTTCCCGGCTCTTGGGTGGCACAGGTTTGGAGAGATGATGGAGTCTGGATGACACCTTTCACAAAAGTGCAGTGTGCCCTCCAACCGTCCATCTGCTAACTGGGGACACAGCCAGAAAGTGTGGTGGCAAGGTGTCTCTTTCCTCCCAGCTCGGGTGACGCGAGTTCCCCTTTATCACTGGCTGTTTGTAAAGGCTAATTTGAGAAGAACACAGAGGCTGGCTTGTGAGGCCCGATGAGAAGTTTAAATCTCAGCTAGCATTGTTTTAGAGAAGCAATTCAGCAGATGAGCTCTTCACAGTCCAGATGCTCAGCTTTCCATGCATTCAAAATTCGGTGTGCAGTTTTTTACGTGTGGATCTGGGTAGCTCTGTAGCCCAAAGTCCTCCTGGGAATATACCCCAGACCTTCAGGAGGTTTAGGGAAATATTTTGGGATGATTTAATAGGAAAAGTAAATTAAGTTTAAAACACTTCCATGGGAATTAATTAGTTGATTCAACCACATTTTAAAAAATGAGTTCAGAAGGCCCGTAAACTATTAATAAAACTTTGGTGGGCTATTGGGATATTGCTATTTGGACCTATTTGTGATTACTATAAATTTCTGTCGGGCTGACAGTTTGAATTGATATCGAGAACACCTACTTTTTTTTTTTTTTTAACCTAAGCCAGGTGTTAGCATTTTTCATGCTGGCGTCTCCCAGGTGTGATGGAAGGAAGATTTTGCAGGTGAGGTGCCCACGCCAGCGGCGCTAACCCCATCCATCGAGGCACCTGGTGATGTTTCCCTCGAGAATTAAAACACATGTTTCCTAAATGCCAGTGTGGGGTGATGGGCTCTGCACAGCCTGGTGTCCTGCAGGCCAGTGTCCACAGATTGTCTAGGCTGAGATAGTGTAGGCAGCATGTGGCCTACCATCCAAGTGGGGTCGTCAGGACACCTGTGGCTGAGAGATTCTACATTCATCTGTAGACTTTGTATTTGAGTTTACAGAAGTGTGACCACGTTGGCTTTCTTGGGTAAGCAAAGGTGGTTTTTTTTTTTTTTTTTTTTTTTTTTTTTTTTTGGTGAATGAACAAACCCTGCCCCAAGTCCTAGAGCACCCACTGTTGCTGCACAGGCGGTCCATTCCCTAACCCTTGACCGTTTTGCATCAGTATTGTTGAATAGTGTTGTAAATAAGAGTATTGTACAGCAGACGCCCCTGGGAATTTTACTTTGCGGTCTGTAGCTACACACAGATACTTAGCTCTGTCACTGGACAGTGACCTCCACACAGCATGGAGACTGTTTTGTACCACAGATTATTTTTATAAACTAGTGAGCTGGAGTGAGGATGCTTCTGTAACCCAAGCCAATGAGCATTACTTTCAGGATCGTGCACACATCGGAGCGCGAGTGTGGGAGCTTAGCGCTTGCGCGGGTTCCTGCATGCACTGGCAGTCTGGAGTTGTTTTCAACGGGGTCCTTGGCCCAAGCTCTGCTCGCAGGGCAGTGATATCTGTCTGCTTCCTGCCTGTGGAGAGGACAGTGACTGGGCGAAGGGAGGAGCTTGTGGTGGG